TAGTCTATTGATTTACCATATTCATTCTGTTGGATTAAAGTAAACCTGCATTTGCAATGAATTTGATGATGTTCAGATTGTTTTGAAACTTGATGATAATCAGATTGTGTTTGAGACTGGATGTTGTTCAGATTGTGTATATATGAACTTTAAAAGGACCACTGAAACAATAAGTCAATGTTCAAGATTCTTTAAAATTATGTCAATGAGAATTTAGCCTGTTAACCTATAGTTAAAATATACTTCAGCAAGATTTTAAAGCTATATAGCAAATCTCATCATTTGCAACTTTTTCATTATTTGATAATTTAACCCATTATTCTTTATTGCTGATTAAAAATTGCAGGGCATTTAAATGACCTAGGGAAGCCAGTGATATAAATTGGCCTTATTCATTGATTTACAGTAAAATGGAATATTGTGAAGAACCAGAGAACTGTTCCACAGCTTCAGAGGAAATATGGGAGCAAAGTCAACAAGGCATGTGGGAAACTAGGCTGTTTACATAGAGAGATTTAGAACTCTCCAGGGAAGTGTCTCTATTTGGTATACAATACACAGGTCTATTCATGCATTCCATTTTAAATATGACTCAAAATTAGTGATATCCATGTTTCTGGTGAAAGCATCAATTGAAAGAGACAAACATCCTACTCCTATGGTATAAAATATAAGGAAGTTCGAAGCAGTAAAAAGGTATTACCATTTTAGATTTGATTGAATAAATTGAATCAGTGGCAATTTTTAAATTTTGATATGTTAAAAGAGGCTCTGTTGGTTAGATGGGAGAATTAGCTGCATGTTAAAGGTGGCGTTATGCTCAGTTTATAACAAAATTGATATTTAGCCCGAAGCAATAATAAATATTAAGCAATTATTTCATTCTGTGGAGGGCAATACCTGCGGGCAATACATATTGCAAAAATCATTGAAGGTGCAGTTGTCAGAATCCTCAGGCGGGCAATACGCAGGGCAATAAGGGATACATATTTTATATGCCAATAATTCAGGGAACTGTGAAATACACTATGGTATTTTTAGTCCCATGGTACTGAATTAGCCAATCAAATCACACTATTAATAGCAATGATGTAATAATTAGTGCTACTTCCATGAACACCCGTTTTGTAGAATAAGATTCTGATTCTCGTAAAAAAAAATATGAAAATACAGGCACAAACAAAGTGCATTTCGAAACTCTGCTTTTGGATATTGATGCATTGAATGATATTGGCTAAAAACTTCTGTCAGAATTGAAACAATTTTTCCCAAAGGAAAAGTCAACATTTCAAAACAACAGCAATAGCTAGAACTATCCTATTTAAATGTTTACTTGACAGTATGTAGAATTTGGGAATCCGGACAGAGAATATTAACAGAAGTAGAAAGATTGATAAAGAAAATGGAGTTTTAGTGTGGGAGGGGGGGGGCATGTAATTGTATACTTGTTTATGTAACAATCATTTCATAAAATTGATAAAATGACATATTCTAGACAAGGATAGGCATTTGCCATCATAAACTATGAGGGATTATGACTCATAAACTTAACTACTGGTATGGAGATTTGGGGTAGTAATATGGAACATACGTTACATGTAAACTGTAACCTTATAAGATCTTGTCCAATTTCAGTCATACCTGATTATAAAGGACCATTTATGTTACAGCATCAGGGCATATTACGTATAATATTAAGTTACTTAGATATAAATTATGACTGTCATCGTTTCTACTGTGCCAAAATCATTCAACCAATTTTTAAATGGAATACGAGATCAAGATTTCTTATTTTAGGTTATATTCATATGTCTAATAATAATTGATATTAAACATATTCACTTTTATTGTTCTTATACACTAATAAACAGATTTGTTTAGATATTATTTTAAGTTTCAACATAACAAACCACTATCCATATTGAAGGAATCACTGAAGGTACAGCATTTTGGAAATGTATAAATTGTTTATATTTCATTATTTGAGCCAGGCCACAGGAAAAGGGGTCTTATCACATATTTTTCAATATTTTGATTTTTTGTTTATCTTAAAAGCACAAAGAGACCTTTCAAATGAGCCATGGCTTATGTCTTAAAAAAAATTTCTTGCAGATATAGACCAAAAGACGGATTTGAATTTAGCACATTTTCCTCTTAATCGTATGCACATTTTTGGCTCTGTAGCACAATTTTAATTTTTGTGATAAGACCTGTTTTCCCATGGCCAGGCTCATTTTGCGAAATACTAAAAGGAGTTATACCCGTACCTTGTTAACCATGAGTCAATGAATGCATCATATAATATCTGCAAAATGATGCACTATGCAATTCATACATGGAATGATTTATTTTGCCATATTAGAATCAAGTATTATCTTTAATCCATTGGATAGATCATGCATTACCTGATGTTGATGTATTGATAATAGAATCAGTTAGTCAATTGTGAGACACCATTTGTCCGAGAAAATAAGAAATCTTAGTTATGTATGAAGGCAGGGCATAACAATTCACCTATCATTTATTTATGTTTACTCCATCTCCTTTACTAATCAGTATTACCTTCCCTTTTAAAGCGGAGTGAGATATCGTTGAACTGTGGCGCTCATGCACGATATATGAAAAAATTATCATACTCCATAGTTCCACTGTCATTTAAGCCTGATTTGGTACAAATGTCAAAGCATAATGTCAACTCTAAAGTAGTTTAATTCAATGAAAGTAAAAAATATCTAAAGCGACAATTACCGTCCGCCATCTTAGATGCGAAGGTTACGGCCGTTGCCTTCGCTTGGTGCTGATCAGTGTCCTTGCTTTGTTACAAATTGTCATTGCCCTCTGTTTGTAACCCCTCCCTCCTTCTCGATTAAGGCCATGAATATGAAGATGATTTAGAGGTATTATGAGAAATACTAGTGAAGGGTTGTTTTATGATAAATGAGTTCATATAACTTAATCCAAGTCATAACTGTTACAAGTATGCAAATCACACCAGCATGAGATAACATCATACTCAAAGGATGGAACAGTCCATTACTTTTCAATTGCATAAAATGGCTCTAACCCTGACAAATGTATTAATCAATTTTAACTCATAGCTCTTGATCAATGGAACCATTCATATTCTAGGTACAAGTCAATGAATACGACTTTGACAAACTAAAAAGACTAAGGACCTCTAAAAGTCTAAAAGACTAAAAGTTAATTTGACCATTGATGACCTATAATAGGGAAAGGTCATGATAACACTTATATAAAATATTTAAAGTATCTAATAATTATAATGAACATATTACAATGTTACACAATGTTAGTAGATGCAAATTAAATGTCAATTGTTGTTAGTGTAATATGTATTTTTCATTCAATGCTGCAACAATTATACAAGGACCAAAAAGTGCCACGCCCATTTTTCCCTTAAAGCAGTTGTGTGTGACTACATGTGATAAATATTATTAATTTATGGGATCATTATATCAAGTTTTTAGTGCTTTAGTGTGAATACATACATATTAATTCAACTTTTGACAAAGTAGCAGCCACAAAATCCAAACAGATTTGCAAATATTTCACTTTGAGAACTAAAGGACACATTTGGGACGGGGTCAAATTGAGAAGATTGTGACATATAAATACTGTTTCCATGGTAACCATATAAGTAAGAGATTGGAAATTTCTGGCACTGACTAACCATGGCATGCCCTACCAACTATAAAACAATGAATATCTGATATGCATTAGTATTCTTTTTATTGGGTGGTATTAAAGTACCCCCATGGTTTTGTTGGGGTAGGGGTATAAATTGGCCTGAGGGCCGTCTGCCACCCCTACATGAAGTCCAACCAGAAAGTGTCCAGCATTATCATACAGATTGTTTGAAATATGTTGGAATGTGTGACCTTCCATGAAAAGCAGAATGCATTTCTAGAGCACTTCTACAGAATAGTCCACAGTCTACATCTTAATATCTAGTTTAATCTATCGAGGCCATCTGTCTGATTTAATCTTGTGCAATTTGTCCAATTTACAATTTACAACCATTTTATTGAAATATAGCCATCGGTCTGATTAGCCAAAATCACAAATGTCCAGTATGTAGTCCATTCATTGAAATAAAGCATTTTGCTTGATTTTAAGTTATAGTTTGTAATGTGTACGCTGTCACGGGGAGATGAAGATGCAAGAAATTCACTTGTCAATGCCTCATGCCTGTACACGTAGAAATACATTAGCTAATCCATTACCTGTCTGATTCCTTATATTAAAATGGCCGCCTTTCGAGTCAATCGAAAGTCAAACTGATAGTCTATGAACGATTTGTCTAGAAATGCGCAGACAACGCGTTTCTGTCGCCATATGAATTATTTATGCAAATCTAATGCAAGGTGCCGTGTATATAGCTTATTATCTCAATTTGAATTATTCAAAGTTTTTAATGCAAACAATGTTAAAATTCTTCAAGACAATAAAACTGCATACAAAAATCGAACACCTACAGATTTCAGAATTTTACAAGAAATGGAGCTCTAAAGGTTTTTAAGATATATGTCGCCGATTTTTGCCTTTAAACTTATGTTTTCTGTTTTCTGAATCATAAGAAAGAGGTAAACTTACGAACTGGAAACATCATTTTTGGACAAGTTGAATAAATAGTAATTAACTCTCATATCAGCCATTATATTGGCCATTATCAGCCATATAAATCTCGTTTAGAAGCTACCGCACTAGATAAATTTTGTAGAAGAAGAATTTGTTTTTGTATGCCGTTGATTTATATGTTTTCAAGTTAATTAAAATAACTCTTCTGGCTATTGTGTATTTGTTGTTTGAAACGTGTTGTTGCATATGTCGTTCTATCACGGAATCTAGGATAAAGAATAAGGTCCTAATTAACTCGCTGCACTGTCTGTAAGAGGAATTAAGGTCCCTTGGGCTTTTGGATTCCTTTGAAATGGCCCGTAATCGGTCATGATTGAGTATAAACTAATAAGGAAATGGTGGTGTAATTCATGGAAGGGCCATATTTTGATAGGTTCACTCCCGTTTGGTAAGGTTATATTGCCCTGTGATCCAATTGTCGCCCTCGCATCATAATAAGATCCAGTGAGGGCAACAAACAAGGGTTATATAAAAGGAGCGATACTATTCATTGAGGGACAAACACACGAGGACTTAACTGGCACCAATGTGAAATTATAATGGGGGTTGTAAGGAATATCTGACTTATCAATTAAACTGAAAGAAGATGGCGTACGTAAAACAGTTCCGCGAAACAAAAACCAAGTAATAGCTGCAATAAGATATCTATGAATTGCATTGCAAATACAAGACTTAATACAAATGGATTCATTAAATCTATTAATGACTTTTTTATGTTTCCAGGGCTAACTTTGACGTAGCAAGCCAACCATGAAAGCATCGTGATTGAAATTGCAGTTTGAATTCTGATCGATATACTCTGGTCAAAAGTTTCAATTTCTAGCAGAGCCTTGTAAGAAAACATTGAAATGGACAACGCTTCATTCACACTTGTTGATCCTTCAACCGAGGTGACTACCGTTTGGATCAACAGTTCTCCAGACACAATAAAATGTCCCGATGAAAGATACCCGCATCATCAGTTTTTGGAAATATTTGTACCATACGGCCTTTTGATTGATAGAATGGTTACTCCAATATGGTATATAATAGGAGCTATTGGGAATACACTCTCGGCAAAAGTATGGCTAGAAAAACGAATAAGAAGTAACAACTCTTCAGCCATATATTTAGCAACATTGGCAATATCTGATTTGCTGTTTCTCATGTTGCATATCCTAGTGGATCTGAAATATGCGTGGGGGTTTCATCCTCTTAAATACCCCGTGTTCTGTGAAGTTTTCTTCGTTTTGTATCTTGTTCCTCAGTACCTCTCACCGTTATTGGTGTTGGGCTTTACAATTGAACGTTACATAGCTGTATGTCATCCTTTCAAAAAGGAACGCTACTGTACACCTCAGACTGCCCTGAAGGCTATTGTCTGCCTAGTTGTTTTCAGCGTTCTCCTCTGCGTTGTCCAAGCCTGGTTCTGGACATACTCTGACGGAGCGTGTGTCGTCAGGCCCGAGGCTGTTGTCGGCCATAATAGTAGTATTTGGTCTATCTGGACATGGAGCACTGAAATCATAATATTCATGCTAGTACCTCTGACAATACTAATATTCAATATTTTAGTCATACAAGAGATAAAACGCTTAAGGAGGATTGATTTGATATATCATCAGGAGCACCACAAGGCCTGGGCTGCCACAACGGTGATGCTCCTCTCTGTATCATTCTACGTGATCTTCACTACTCTCCCAGCCACTTTGGTTTACTCAATGACCTACGTATTACCAGAAAGGACAAAAAATCTGACAGATTCTCAAATCAAAACAGATTCCACATGGCAAGGATATTTCACGTTTCTTATGATTCGAAAGATTGTGGAAGAGATTTGTCTGTCACATTACGCCTGTAACATATTCATCTATCTCGTTACAGGTGTACAGTTCAGGACGGCTTTAGTCAACGACGCAAGATGTGTTATGAATTCTCTTAAATTGATAAAGCGTACTAAGAGCTACAATCAAGTACCGGACAAGACAAATAATACTAGAGAACAAGCAATTCCACCCAATGAAATAATGAAGACACAGCCACATCGTATAGTCACCAAAGTGTAGAAAATGTCACAAATTATTACCAAAAACGTTCTCTTTTTCAACCTACGTAAACGCAGCTACCGATAATGGACCTTGTGGATGGTGGACTGGGGTGATGCCTACGGGTGTTATAATCTTAAATTACCCATATCTAGCTTCATATCGACTTTTTCGTGTCAACTTTTTTATCTATTTATCATCAAACTTCCTAACACTGTGTATCATAAATCTATGGCACAAAGATATATTAATGTACATGTATATGTAGTTAACCTTTGAATAAATCAGTTTTTACACTTTCATACACGCTTTCATTTGGTACATACATGCCACAAATATATGACTATATGATATTTATTTATTTAGCCTCCAATACTGAAGAATAGTTTGACAATTAAAACAATCTTACACTATACCTTATGCTAATTAGACAATTACAATATCATGAATTATACATGTATACATGGGCAAAATTTAGACCCAAAATAACAATGGATACATTGGTAAATCAGCTAAAAAATCTTCTTTGGTACATAATTGAGACACTCTTACATGAAATAATCAAAACATTATCCCAATTTTTCATTGGAAACTCCATGCCTAAAATAATGTTATATAATACCTCACATGAAAGTTTCTTAGATGTAGGATTTTCCTTAATCAAATTTCCAATCATGATCTTTCTGATATCAACATAATTATCACATATATGATAACTGATTCTCATTGATCAAACATGAACCTTGGTTTTAAAATTCCTCTGGGCCGTTCGGGCGTCGAAGAATACATCTTGCTAAAATCATTGAAAGATGAACAGGTTTTTCATGTTCTTCATCCCTTTTTCTTTATTTTTTAATGATATTTTAATTTAGAAAAGTAAAATTTCAGTTGATGACATGTTTTTCTCCTAAGTCGCCATGTTATTCTAAATAGACAGTGAAGGTAATTTCTGTCCGATTGTCAAACATATATTATTTGTACCATTATTGGGCGAGAACATTAGCCATTAAGATTACAATAATCATATCAAGACATATAATAAAACAAAAACTTTGGATTATATTGTTTGAGTTAATCTGATTTGACTTATTGCTTGTTTGTTTATTTGTTCGATTATTTGTTTATGTGGGCGGCTATACAGCGTAGATGGAAATTTGAAATAAGACACTTTAACATGTAAAAAAATGCTCCAAAAACCGTTCATTATAAATGAAAATGGAAACATCCAAAAGCGTGATATTATTTTTATTTATATAGTGAATTTGAAGTTTTAATACAGCAATATTTACAAACCAATGGGTCAGGTTTGAAGAACAACCCTCTAGAGAAAAATAATCAACTGCCATCTATAGATACGAGTCCTGGCTACCATTTAAAACAAACCTATAATGATAATACACTCAAAGACGTTGAGTACAAAATACAAGGATTGACGAGATTTTAATGAGGGCTTTTGTCAATTCTGACTGTAACTTCCAATATGTCTGCAGAATTGACTAATCGATCATATACAATGATACTTATGAAACCAATATTTCAAGGCATGACATAACAAGTGCTTCGAGCACATCCTCTTTTCATTCATAATTGAAATAAAGCAATTATTGCGACGATTTATTCCGACTACAATTGGGTGGCAATATCTATAAATCATACTTTCTTCATTATTCTATCAAATGCTATCTTTAAAATGTCACATTATGACAAATGATCAAAACATTTGGGTAGGTTAAATACCGTTTGAAATAAAGTGATCGATATAGTTGGAGAAATCGCTGCTTCAAGTCTTGGTAGTAATTATTTGGCGAGCAGTACTGGAACAAACTTTTGGAAATGTGTATGGAAACTATGCAATGAGAAAACTATTCTAAAACTGTTTTGGGAGCAAAAACCATCCATTACACAAATGCAAACTGTTTTGAGAGCTGGAATACAAACCGTGCAGTACATAAATGCTAGCTGTCACAGCCATAAACTACCGACTGACGGACGGAAAAAGGCTCCATTACTAAAATGTTAGTCAAAGTCATCACATTCCATCGACTTGTGAATGAAATAGGGAGTTTTGTAAAAATAAAATTACTGAATTACTGTTATCCTGCTAAATGTTGATGTTAAACTCTTTAATTAATAACCCTTGGATTAATAAAAGCCATAGGGTAGAGTATATATACTTAACCCTTCCAGCTACTTATCACTCTTTAACATGAATTTTCTCCATGTCCATACAATAATTCATCCAATTTAACAATCTGGGACTTAAGTCACTTGGATTTGCTCACAAATTTAGTAGTGACCAATGACCAATTATGCTTGAATGCATTGACCACACAGATACATTTCGTTACACTCAGAGTACTGGATTATAGTACCCCGAATGGTAAAATTTACTCAAGTAATACATAAAAAGTGCATTTAAATTGTTTCTAAAATTAATTCTATGAAAAAAGGACAAAATTCATCATTAGAAATTATCTAAGCTGAAAAATGAGCCGTAAAATATCTGAGACCATCATAAAATTCTTTTATGTTAGTCTCAGATATTAAAGTGATTTAAGCCATGGACTCATTCCTCTAAGGTGTCACTTTCCAAATATGTGCATGAGAAAGCAGCATCAATTGTTAATTTAAGGAAACAACGCCTGACAGATGGTCATTCCACAATGGATTTAGTCTTGGGCTTAACACTTAAAAGATACGAAATCACTAAAATAACATATTTTCAATGAAACTTTTTGCAAGCAAGGGTCAAATTGGCAAAGGATCAATTTCAATCTGTAGAGTCAAGTTGTCACCTTGACAACCATACAAGAAATGACCTTGGATGTGGTGGTTGGTTATATTACTGCAGTAATATGAAATACTGTATTCGGATTGGCTGGAGTAAGACACACATTGCTTAGCTATGTGTGAATTAACAATCGAATCATCAAGTTTCTGTCGGGTGTACTATTAACTGCACATACTTAATTATTCAAAACTGGCAGCAATTGTCTTTGAACACACATGCAGCATCTAGTTGACAGACCATTAAAATATTTGGAAATCATTTAAAAGTTATTCAACCAAAGCACTCATACTTCAATATACGAGCAGTAACTGCCATCTTTTGATGGTATTGCATACAAATTCAAGGCGTTAACAAAATGTCAACACCAGTTATTGAAAGTTGTAAGAATTTGTCATAGACGCCGAACCCAAACCACTGTTCACAAAAAAGTTAGAGACTAAAACAATATGTCACTAATTACTAGACTAGATCACATATTCAAAACAAGTATTTTATGAAATTCAATGTTTCTGACTTTAAAATAGAACAAACAAAATTAAGGTTATGTGTAATATTTGGTGATATTTTATTAAAAATTGCCCTAAGGCCTATCAGTATTTGAACTACCAAATATGATCTAATAGTTCTAAGCACCTGCATCATCATTACAAAGCCCTATATTCAGGTTTATCATGATCTGTTATTATACATTATGGTACAGTACAATCCACAAGCACTTATTTGTAAGGATAGTAGAATATGATACAAAATGTAGGATGTAAAATGATGTTAGGCAAGTAAGTTCAACTAAAATATAGCAATCAATATTATTCCACAGGACCCTACATAGTGTTACATGTACATTTAGTTCCAAATCTTCAAGAAATATATATAAATGTGTTACAATACTATGCGAGACTAAAATTTGGCTTTACTTCTTCAATTCTTTCAATCATAGACCTACAAAAATATAAATATTTTTCTTTTATATGTTCAATTGTAATCCCACGTGCCAATTCATAATCCCCATATACTGGAATATCTCCATATTGGAAGCATAAAACAATCGGAGGCAAGATGCCGCCAGTCTGAATGACACTTTGGTAAATACTAGGACTACTGTGATACATCAATAAATATCAATTTCTATTGACAAATGATACAAGTATAGATATAGGATGAATGAAATGCAACATTTCCATTTTGACATTTGGAGTTTGTTTCTGAGCAGATAATATTATTCCGACAGGAGTATATCTTGATTGTACAGTACACTGCTTTAAAGTGAAAATGAAAGTCTATGAGATAAAGTTTTGCGAGATCCTTGCATATTTTAATAATTTAAGGGATATATCAGACTTATATTATGAGGTTATATAATGGTTCTTTCTGTATATCGTTTTTATACTCGAGTGAGTATATGATATATTCACAAGTGAGCGTAGCAAACGAGTGAATATAGTATATTCTCACGAGAGTATAAAATGCACGATATACAGAATGAACCATTATATAATCTTATTATGCCACTCTAAGTTCAATTACAGTTGATTCGAACACAATCATAACAATTAAAAACCGTAAAAATATGCCATAGCCAACTCAATAATGCTGATGTTGATCTCGAACCATTTATGACGTCACTTGATTCTAGGATTTTCATGATTTTTTTATTCATTAGTTCCCAGAATGCACTTCTACAGTGGTATACGCTGGAGTGTATACGGAGGAGTTGTATACGATGACGATATACCACTCTCCACTGTATATCGTTGATATAGACCCATGTTATACAACTGTAATTTGACTTAGAGTGGTATAACAATTCAAATCCAATACAGCAACATAAGGATATTCCTGATATTCACATTGACTTTCAATATAGCCTATATCAGATCAATTCACACAGTGCTCCCAGTATCTCTAATAAATACAAAGGAGTAAAAAGTATATTATCATTATGATGCTGATTAAAAGTGACACAGAATTAGTCACCGACACAGAAGCAATTACCAAACAAGGCATTAACATGCAAAATGTCACCACCTGCCATTTGTTACAGATGCCGAATGCCAGATGTAATCACAAAAATGGAGACCATAATAATATGTTACCACTTTTGGTGGTGACATAAAATGAGAAACGAAAGGATGTATATGTACATTCATAATTCAGAGTATTGGGCTATAGCCATTTTTGAGTACAGCCCCAATCTGCACTATGAAATGTACCAGACAAAATGTTAAGAGTATGGTACCCTACGATATGTTGAGGATGGTGCTGCTCAGTGCTCACAGAACCGTATGGTACTGTCTTAGACCATGGTATCCTACGGTACCACATATCATGGTACCATACAGTGATCATACAGTACCATAGGGTATTCTTAGAGATTGACTGTGAAATTTACTCAAATTCAATCAATTCAACTTCCTTGAATCTGCAGTCAGAAGATATATATCAAGTTGATACTACATAATGCATTGTTTGGATATATATAAAGCAGTTATGTTAAGTTGTCATCTTCCACAACATAATATCATAAACCATGAGCTACGCAATATAAAATAAAATAATATACATATTTTGTAAATACAAAATAAAAAAAATTACTCAGGTCTAAGTGGGCTAGTTCCTACATTTTTGGGCTAAAATTGGAAAAATTAGTCTGATTTTTCTATTTTTTGGGCTTGTCAAGTCTCTTACAACAGAGACTGAATGGTATATTAACACTAGGTCAAATGAAATCTCCACTTCATATTAGTTCATTCTCCAATCAAATTGAGATTTCCTATCAAGACATACCTTATTTTTAGTTGCTCTTTCTACTGTATATAAAACTAACTAATACAATGCTATATGTACATTACAAGTAGTGGTATGTATTGTAGGTCTTATATGGAGAACAGAGCACCTTCCCTGAGCAAAACTGTACATGTACGGTAAAACCTGTATAGTATATACATATACAAACACCAGGCTAATCACAATGCCCCCAATCCTAATACTGTCCCAGTGGTGTTTAGATTAGATAGGTTTTACTGTACATAGAAAATCAACATCATCATTATACACCATTTTGAATGAATTGCTATTTTGAATGCATTTAGAGTCCAAACATTACATTTCATTAAAATATATTGAACATTTTGCAATAACATTTTTTATATAATTACATGATTTGACATCACTAATCACCGCTTCATCGCAATTATTATTTTTTGGCATTATTCTCAACATTTAATTAACATTTTATAAACGTAGGTTTTCTAACCTTGATAGGCATCTTGATTGTTTATATTTTTTACATAACAACACTAAACAGCATGAAATTTCATTTCAGAAAGATAATTCACTTCTTTCAAAATACATTCAATTTTTATATAACATGATTTTTATATACTAAAACATAATACAGAAATGATTTTTGTGTATTACTAATGAAAACAGACAAGAGATGAGTGTTTGCTGTTTATACTTTTATAGAATGAAAGTGTTTAAAAAGCCATTTAATCGACAATTCCCATGTCAAGATTTCTTTGTCCCTATATCACAAGGTTGAATTAAACATGTTCCAATTTGGTTCTTGGTATTTCAAGTTGAATTCTGAAGTTGTGAGGTCCCATTGGTTGCAATGAGTGTTAATGGCTGTGCAGTCTGATTAAGACTAAGTTGTTGTGTGTTATTTATTCCCTGGGAAGCCATTGTCAATGTAGGGTTAATTGAACTTTGTAATTCAGCTGGTACGGTGGTTAACTTCATAGGAGTCGATGTGACAGTCAAGGCCTGGCCACCCTGTGATTGGTTCACGATACTTGTCAAACTACCAAATGGTATCGTTAAACTTTGAGAAGTCGGGGATTTAGTTGTCTCTGAGAGTGGGTTATAATAGCTGATAGATGTCGTTGGTAGTGACATTGGGGTCGGAGGATTGATGCGTTTTTCTTTTTGACGTCTATTACAAAACCAAACTCGCACAACCTCTTTCTCCATATTCAATCCATCACCTAACATTTGAATCTCCTCAGACATTGGTTTAGGATTACGTAAAAATGCTTTCTCAAGAGCAATCCGGATAGAAGAATCAATACTTGTGCGTTTTTTCCGTCTTCGGCCACCGAATGGATCGGGGGTAAGACTCCCGGGTGAAGTTGAGAGAGCCGCAGGATTTTGAGTCATAGAATCTGCATCATCAAGCCATTTCTGTAATAATGGTTTCAGCTTACACATGTTTTTAAAGCTGAGGTTCAGAGCCTCAAATCGAGATATGGTGGTTTGACTGAAGTCATTTCCATAAAGTTTTCCCATGGCGAGGCCAACATCTCCTTGAGTAAAACCTGGAAAGAGAAACAACATAAAGATTCAGATGTAAAGAAAACTTAGCCTAAACTGAATAATACTGAGATTAACTTTAATATCAAAAATTGGACAACCAAAGTATCTCCCTAGAATCCAGAGACTATCAGTTAAATTCTCTTCTCTAAGGATCCATATTTAGAATAATGCTATTTGATTATTTAGTCAGCATATTAGCCTATTGAATTGGGTATTTATAAAATTAAAGAAATAAAGGTGATTACTCTGAAGCAAAAAAAAGTCAAGGTGTATATGTAGGAGTTGGTACAAATGTGACAAACTGACCAAATGTATTTTAAAGAAAGCAAAAACATTACGGTATAGTTGCAGCATAGGTAGAACTATCTTACATCCAATCAATATAATTTTCTAATCAAATCAAATCAATCAAAGTTCAATGTAAACTTACCAAGCCTGATTCGTTTCTGTTTGAATGATTTAGCAAATCCTTCCAGCTCCTCCAGGTCATAGACTTCCTCAGGTTCACTGTTCAGTGTAAGGGACAGTGGCTGATCCTAGAAAAAATGGATTTGGACATGTCCATGTAAAGTAATTGAATTTGCATGTACAGTTTGTAACCTCTGGGTTTAACCAGATAGAATAAGACATCATAAGCAAAACCTTTTCACATACATACTTTCCTTATTTTACAGCAGAGCTCATTATTTTAATTTTATTGAAGAAAGATGGAAAAATGGGAAGAAGATGGTACTATTTTTTCAACCATTAATGTATAAAACTAAGATTTTAATGCTCCTTATTGCAAATTCTGAATTCTAACCCATATTTTTCAAAATTTCACAGCTCATATTAAACAGATAAGACACAAGGCCTAAATTGCAATTTTTACAATTAAAGTAAAGCACTTTAAAGCAATTAATTTTATAAGAAATGTTATGTCCAAAATTGAAACTGAGGGGTTCCTAGTCTTTTAAATCAATTAAGATAACATATAATCTGACATTTGACCCATTGATACCAGTTGCAAAGTTTATGGGAAAGCATTTGAAACTGAAGTGCACTTCCAAGTAATTATTTCACACATTGGGCCATACCTGTGCCATGGTGCCTTGGCTAGATGCTGTAAACTGCATACTTGATACAGATGTTGCGGGTTCTCTAGGATGTACAAAGCTTAAATTGGTGGGTTTCTGCTGTTGTATGGTCAAAGGGGCAGGACTTGGAGCTATCTGCACCTAGAAACATGTGCTTACGTATACTAGCTAATTTATTAGTTGAATAGAGCCCAAGTAAGTGTAGACCAAATAAGTGTGAATTACACTAAAACCTGTCTCAGTGGAACACCTATAGTACCTCTAATAAAAATTGTTCCACTAGTAACAGGGGTGTTCCACTTATAGAGGTTCACTTCACATTAAGTCTTTTCTTGGGACTCTGAAGTGTTCCACTAACAGAGGTGTTCCAGTTCTAAAGGTGTTCCACCTTACAGGAAAATATTTGAAGTTAAGTGCACTTATCTTGAAGATACATTTAAAACATTTGGCACATTAATTTTTTACAACTCATTACTTTGGATGTTACAAATTGTGCACACTTGAATTCATATTGACTTTGTATTCATTCAATTTTAGGATTGTTCATATAATTTCACATAACCACAAATACAAAGGACATAAATTGGCATTTTCAAACACTACTACAGAACTAAATAAATAAAATCCTTCCTTTTTAAGTACGATAAAAAATTGTGCTTACTTGTGTTGTTTTGGGAGTCGATGTTTGAGGTTGTTGAGTTGTCTGAACCTTGCTTGGAGAGACAAGTTGAAAAACCTGAAAAATATTATCACTTCTATATGCAACAATGTTTCATGTTGTATCATTTGCCGTAACAAGTATAAGTCAGATATTCATATCATCAATAATATATATACCATTTCTACATTAGCGATTTGAAAAATGAATCTTAAATTTGTTTCGATTCATATCAAATTTCTATGTTAGCGATTTAAAAAATGAATCTTAAATTTGTTTCAAATCATATCAGATTTTCGTCAAGTAATACTTGCAAAATCATCCCTTCATTGGAACCAAAACACATCAGATAGAAAAAGCAGTCCACATAATCAAGTCCGGTAAAATGGTCAAGATTGTTGAGAAACACACACAAAAGGTTCACACACCTGATTTGGAAGTTGAACAAACTGTGGCTGCCCCACCCCGAGGCCCCCCAACTGTGAGGGGTTAATCAGCAGGAGTTGCTGGCCTAGCTGAGACATAGCTTGTAGGGTGGTCCCCTGGGTGGGGGAGCTGGTAGTGCCTGAAGCTGCTACTGGTGCCTGGACCAGGATAGGCTGACTCTGACTGACAGCAGTTGTAGATGCAGCCTGGAAAAAAGCAAGAAATTACGTTAACTTAAGTCTCATTAATGAGAGGGATTAAAGTGCTGAAATCTGACATAATTCTAGGTCATCGAAGTACAATTATTTAAAATCAATAAACCATAAAAACCTAAATACAGCAAATATAATCTATTTCATGAATTAAAGTATTTCAGGTTTTATTCAGTTTTGCAGCTGAGTCCTGCAACTGCATATATGAAGAGACACCTGTATTGTCATGCAATAAGGAAATAACTACTGTACCGAAATAATAGATCCAACTTAGACTAACGTCAAAACTACAAATCTTGTTTAATTATGTAACTGGACCAAGTAAAACGCAATCAATCATACTTGGTTTTGTTGTTGCTGCTGTTGGGCTTGTTGTGCAAGCTGCAAGGTTTGTTGTAATTGCTGAGTCTGTTGTTGTAACTGTTCTTGGAGCTGTTGTATTTGTGTTGGAGTTAACTGCACACCTTGGGGTAGTCCTGCTATTGGAATCTACACAAGTAATTAGCACATTTAGTAATGTTAATGTAAAAATGTAATGCTGACAGACTTAATATAAGTGGTATAATACCTCGCAAAAAAGTTTTTATGACATTTTCCATGGACTGATAATTAAAACTTTTCAGTGTCCAATTTTGTTTTTTGTTTTGCATCAGCACATTAGATCCTTAGATTAGCATTTAAATCTACATATCATTTTTAATTTTAAAATACCCCAAAAAGTTCTAGAGATCAAAAATATTTTTGAACCAAAATTCAAATGGAAAAGATCGATATCATACTCTATATGTGCTCCTTTTAGTTAGTATAATGAGCCAGGGAAGAAATATAGAAATTTCCCAGGAAAAATCTTGCAGATTAATATAAAACTAATGCTTTTCACACATAAAACATTTCACATTTGAATAATATTTACCGTTTGTCCAAACTGGTTCTGTACAATGAGAGTGGGTTGTTGCTGCTGTGAAAGATTAACAGGTAACTGTAGACCCGCTGATCCTGCTATCTGTGCACCCCCCTGTCCTAGCACCATGGTGGGTTGTACAGTGGCAGCAGTGGCAGTCTCCTGGGCCTGGCTCACCCCAGCCAGTGTCCTAGTATCCTGTATGGCCTATAAGATAATTGTAACATACTATATGTACAAGCTCAGGCAATATTATAGTACTAGTCTATACCCTTTAAGACATAATTAATCAAATTTCAAATTGACCCATTCCACCACCCTAAAACATTATTGAACCCATTTCCCATTTTGAACCCTGAATTCATTCATATTGCATATACAGGATGGGAAAGTGACACCATCAAAATATAACCAACTTTTGCCCATTCCCCCAATTTTGATTTCTTACAATTGACTCTATTTACTCTATTGATTACTCACTAAATTCAATGCTTTCTCCATGCCATTCTCAGTGGTATCTCCATTGAATCCACCTGGAAAATACAAGTTACATTGAAATTATAGACAATCCTTTAGTTAATATATGGGTTAATAGATGTCAGTTTAGCTAGACACTTCTGAAGCTCAATGACTGCCAGTTTCCAGCTATACAGGGTGGGCCATGAATATCAGAAAGTAATTTTGGATAATCTTTGAACACATAAAATATTTCTAGCAATTACAAATTAGTAAGGGGGTATATCTTGACACCCCCTTTCAATTTGAAAAGTCTACCTAGTTGGTGTGACCTTCATGCTACATTGTATAAAGTAAATAATAATACAATATCATAATTTTAACAATAAGTGAAAGGATCATGAAGTTTCTAAAATAAAAAGGGACAAGAAAGCAAAATGATTTCATATTAAAGTGTAATAACTTGTTGATCTATGCAAATAAATGTAAAGATGTTTAGATTTTTATGAACAAAGTACAGTGAATAACAAATATCCAAGGTATAAAATAATTATTCTTTGAGATATGAACCAATGAACCAAGAATGAAAATAAATTAGATTGTAGTTCGTGAGACTGGTTTGATCAATAAACTTCATTAGTCATATAAGAGAGGGGATGTTGTGGGGGATTATTTACAATAAATGTAAATGATGATAATAGTAGAGAGATTATCTTCTATGACACCCAACCATACCAAATTCCATATCTAAAATATACATACATATATCATACATACAAGTGGAAACTACAAAAAACAAATGCATTTACTCATAATAACACAGAAAGTCTTCTATTAAGTTCTGTCCCGCCATTCTACCTGTAATTCTGGCCAACTTTTTCTCAATAATTTTGAAGTTGTAACTAGGTTAAAATTAAAAGGTTCACAAAATTATAAAAAATCTTAAGTCAATTGTGGCATTATTTCTTTTTTTACATTTTCCACAAAAATCTCATATTTTGCATAACTTGGATTATTCCAGCTCTGCTGAAAAATAGGAGAATTCAACCCTTATGATGAAAGCTGGCTATATCAATACCATGAACCCAGTGCGCGAAATAGACGTCCGACATCGGCCATTGGCCTGACAAAATTATAGATGGCTTGTTTTGATAAAAACACCCAGACATTTTGGCCTGCCAGACATTTGTGGCATTCGTTAGATTGCCCATGAATAGAACCCACATTTCAGTCCGGAAATCCTCCGAATTCCCCGCGATTTCGGCTTATTCCATGACTTTTGTTGAAGATTTAAAAAAATTTCAAATATTTTTGTTTTCATACTGAAGCCCAAGATATAACGTGACTTTTGATTGGCTGTTGTTGTTTGTTGAAATTACGGTGATTTTGATTGGCTATGGATGACTCATTTCTTCATCGTCGTTCGCAAATCGAGTGCATTATCAGTATGCCGGATGTAGAAAAGAAATTGAAAAATCGAGCCGGCATCTAAGTCCAAAAAGTCGGCAGTTTGGAAGTATTTTGGGAGTCCGATATCACAAGGTAAACGAATTGGTGATAGTTCACCATGCAGATTATGTGAAATGCCGATCACATTCACGGCAGATGCTTTATATTCGATTTTAATTGACGTATTTCTGAATATGATTTTGAAAAGTGAAACTGAAAGTGAAACTGTCATCATCAGACATTGTATCATTTTTAATGTTCTGTCCCGTCCTGTCTCGAAAGTATCGTGTCCCGAGACCATTTGTACCGTTCCGTACCGTACCGAAATTTATTTGTACCGTGACACCTCTAATATATACCTTGAATTTTAGTCTGTTAGTGGAGTCTGTGTACATAGTATGTGTTTTTGAATACCTTGAAGCTTCTGAGAGCAATTCTAAACCGACCAAAATCAGTACAATTTAGTTTGATCAATATGTACATGTTCCTCATGTTTTTGTAAGGTGAATCTAGGGGGGAATCAACACACCCAGGCTGTTGGTTAAGTCATCAAGTACAGTATAGTGAATGATACATGACATGCAATGGAATTACTTTTACTTTGTTAATATTGTACTAAACTAAATCTCATTTTAGAGTGGTTGTGGAGAAATATGGAAAATGAAATTTTTGGCCAGAGAAGTAAGAAACAGGCTGCAAAAAATTGGCCTGAGAAAAAATGATATGGCTGGTTAAAATCTGGCTGGCCTGCCAAAATGTCTAGGTTAAAAAAATCCTTATTTCACGCACTGTCAGAACCAACTCATAAATTGTTCTCGGAAACACCATTGACTTGATACAAGACTACATCATGCAGTAAGATATACGAAAGTTGATCCAAAAGTTCCGAACTGTTGGATCAACCCTCGTATATAAGGTATTTCACACTAGTCATGCAGCACATGCACCTAATAAAATCGTACTACAACTTAAAGTCTATAAGGGAGGATAACACGCAACCATGATGCTTATACTGTAGTTGTCTACCTTTACTGCAGTCAACAGGTTCATCAGGATGAGTTTCCTCCTTCACTGAAAACACCAAAAATATATATCAATTCAGATACACAAAATTTGTTAGAAGTAGAACACACGTAAAGTGGTACACCAAGTGGGAACCTTTCCATAAATGGAACACTTTATGAAACTGTTAACTTACGAGTACTAAATTAACCTATTAATGTAAAATAAACATCTTTGGCAGTGGAACACTATTTTTAGGCATCAAAGGTGTTCTACTTATCCAGGTTTTACTATATTCAGATGGTCCCTATAACTTGAACAAGTAACATAGAGATAGTATCAAAAGTTCGAATAATTCACAGCAATTATTTCTATAGGCTTATACAAATATTGCACTATTGGTCAAATACACTCCTGAAAAATGGTTGTATCTTTAAGCCAAAATGCAAGCGCAAGTTACTTAATTGGTATGTGTAAGTCGAGATGAAAAAATGTACTTGTCACATTTAAGATTTCCACTTCCTTTCATTTGATTTGGTGATGAATTTGAGTGAATGATGTCTTATCATTTCTAAGTTGGATGAATCAAGTATTCATTATTCATTATTCATATATTCAGTCTAGCTTTATCAAATATTCTTGAAAGGAATTTTATGAATATTTTCCTCAATTATTCATAGGTTGATATTTAGTTAATTTAAAGGCTTTACTACACCTCATTTTCTTATCAAGAAGTACCCTTGGCAAGAGCTTCACTGAAGCTATTCTTTCTTAGAGACAATATTTTTTGATCTATCCAATATACAAGTAGTGTCAGAATACTGCGTAAATGTTTTAAACCATCATATTATAACTTACCAGTGAATAACACCTGAGGATATAATTCTCATTGACAAAAATCCCTCCTGAAAATTCATATTCACCTGGTCATTCCCACATTCAATCAATTTCATGGTATAAACCGCTGGTTCTGACTTGAATATAGGTTTTATACCAGGGTCAATATGACACTCTCAGTATAAAACTCATATTCAACATCTATAGGTAAAAATTCTCTCTAAAGTGAGAAAATAACAATAATCCTCTTAAATGTTATCATATAAGGCAATAAAAGGTACATTTGAGATGATTAAGATCATAACAGCATCAAAACTGTAAATCATTAGTTACAGTGAGAGGGTGGGATGGTTTTCTGATGTTGATTCAGGGTATCTAATCGGTAATTAGAACATCTAGGATTGACTGTAATTAACAAATGAAGCATTCACTGATCCTCTGCAATTTAGTACAGTAAAACCTGGCTCAGTAGAACACCTTTGATACCTCTAAAAAGTGTTCCACTTGGGAGGTGTTACACTTGCAGAGGTTTAAAATTATCTCAGTTGGTCTTGGGACTCTGAAGTGTTCAACTACCAGAAGTGCTCCACTTCTAGATGTGTTCCATTTAACAGGTTTCACTTGTGCATAACAGTAATTCAGTCAAAATAATATATCTTTGATATCAAATCTATTTGCATGACATGATTAACTGAACATTGTCACATACATGTTTGTAACTTTAGGGAAAATTGAGGCCTTAAAATCTCTTGGGAAATACTGATTATTATTTGATACAATGATGGTTTTTACACTCACACAGGTATGGCCTTAAGAAATGCAAAAATAATACATAAACATGAGCAATCCCATCATTTGCATTCATTTGCATGTCATAAGGTCATACAAATATCCACAAAATATTGATAGGAAACATGTTAAATGTTGTAAAAACCTACTGGCTAGTTTCTTCATTTCAGTTTTGAACAACAATTATATAAAACCACAGGTTTGACTGCCAATATTGAAATCAATCCTATAGAATCCTCCTCCTTACTGAAGAGCTTTATAGCAGAAAACCTGATCAGACTTTTATAGGCATGAATTGTTTCTAGATATTTCAATCATGCTGGTGAAGATACATAGATAACATCTCATAGGGGTAGGATAATTACCCCTGACTGGCATAGGACTCCTTACTTCTTATAGTGGTTATCTTTTTTTTTATTAGAATTGAGAGAAACAGGCTGAAGTGCTGATTATGACTCAGTCATAATTTTACAGTCCCAGTGATCTCTCCAGCATGGAACCATGGCAACCACTTGATATTTTGAAAACATGCTTGCAACTACTGTAAAAACATTTGCAACCACTTAAAATATAAACTTTGGTCAAAATTGTGGGAAAAAGAATTTTGCTCCCACACTTGAAGAAAATTTTGGGGAGAACACAGAGTATGTAAGACTTCAATACAAGAAGATCATAATTCAATCAAATTTTGCTAAGAAATCTAGGGTTCGATCAAATCAATCAGCGTGACCAGATAGCGGCAAGTCAGCAGTAAAAACCTGTTGAAGATATACATAATTCATGAATTAACACATTAAGATAAATAGGTTCTAGTAAAGGCACCTGTGCACGATCAGCCATTTTTGATTAGATAATTGTGCCAAATACTGACTGCAATCTAAACATGCACATCAAAGTCTCATTATTAAGGGAGACTTTAAACAAGATTGATGTCAGACATTTAAATCTAGTTTAGGAGAGGATTGAAGGACATTTTAGTATAAAGTGTTACCTCACCTTT